CTCTTTCAATCAAGTTCCCTAGAAACTGTTTTTTGTTAATTGAATTCTTTGTCTCAGACCTCTTATCCGTAAATTTTTTTACAGATCCTGAGTTTTTTAAATGTAATTCGAGACCATGCAACCCGGAAGAAATGTTGTATTTCCTCAGGTAGTTTTAATGGTGCCACTAACCTCTTGAGTTTCCGGTGTTCCGATCAAAGCTTGGTGTTTCTTTTGAGGTACCAGTGGTGAGGCATGAAGAATGAATTGCATATCATAAATCACTGTGGAGGGCTATTTGGAAGAATGGGTATTTTCGCAGCTAAGTGGGCAAGAAATTGTAAATTTGAACAAAGTAGCGATTACCTCTTGCGATGTGAAAAAGTCTTTGTATTCGTACAGACGGCGTTTGCATGGGTCGCATTCGTATCCCTCCTCCAGCCGCAGTTTTTTCTCTTCCTCAATTCTGTGTTTCTTTTTCATGTTGATCTGCAAAATATTCAGGACCCCGCGCTTGAAATTCTTGAACCATGGCCTGTCTTTGCTGTCGAAGCTCACTTTTGATACGAGGCCATCGATGTAATCAAAACGGACCGGGAGCTTGAATATCTCGTTATATTCGTCGTCGAACTCTTTCGTTTCGAACTGCTCTTGCGCATGTAGCTCACGGTGATCTGCGAGAATTCCATTAGCTAGTCCAAATCGAATGTTGTTCAATTTTAGTAAAGCAGAAGCGTGCGAAATGAACTGCAGCGTGAGGTTTGCGTGAAAACGTGTTGAACCGAAATGCGCAGATTGCTCCGGTAGGCCTGTTGAGTACTGTCCATCGTAGCTGTAGTGATACTCACGCTCCGTTTGAAAATAGCCTTCTTCAAATTCGTTGTGCTTGTAAAAACTCTGCTCAGACTGGACCAGATACAGATTGCTCGAAAGTAACAAAATCACAAGGGGGTGAAACATGGTTGAACAGTGCTGCGATGAACAGTGGCGCGGTAGACTGGTACAGCTATTTATTACTATCAGAACATGCGGCCGTTTTGTTATCAACGTCATTATCACTGGTTTATTGCCAGGGAGTAAAAGATGTTGCTTTTTGTATCGTCGAAGAGTAATCATGGCTGTCGTATGGGCTTACCACTCATTCTGACAAATGTATTCGCCTCAACAAAAATAAT